CATGAAAAAGATAGTAAAGAAAATATAGAGAAAATATATAGAAAGTATAATTTGTATATCAGGTATAAAGTGTATATATATCAAGTATAAAATGTATATCAGGTATAAAATGTATATCAGGTATAAAGTGTATATTACAAATAAGTATATAAGTAACAAGGGTATGGGCAAAAAGGAGAAGCAATCAATATAGATACTGCATAACTTTCTCCTTATCTGTCCTATTCTGTTGTTGGACATTTACCCCATTACACAACCCCAATACACTATATTCGTGAAATTGCTACACCTGTTACAATCCCCTTGTGACGCTGGATCTATTGGTAGATCTGTATCATTATCTGACAGCTAGGACCAAATTCACATGCCTTTTTTGAGGAGAAGACCCGCCCTATTGTTATACAGCATGAGGCAAGCTCAAGCAACCAACTCGTCAGATTTTCATACCAACAGTTTTGGTGATGACTGTGAGATCGAACACTATTGATTACACTCATTACCTCTCAATTTCTATATGATAGACATAACATATAGACATACACGCATTTATTATACACAGTAGCATAGAAGCAAAATTGTACATGATAGTTGTTACCCCCCAATCTACGATTTTATTTTATTTTTATTGTTGTTAATTTTTTTTAGATAGGTAATAATGGAAATATCTAGAGTAATAAGGAACGTTATCTTAGGTGCTTCAGACGAGTTGAAAAAATATGGACCTAAGGAAACAGACAAAGACATATTCAAGGACTTGAAGAAAGCGGTGATGAGAAGAATACAGAAGGAAGCCCGACTGAGTCCAGGGGAGTGATTGTACGATGCCTATCCGGGATTAGAGAAGTTAGTGATATCCTTATGCGAGTGTATTGATGGGATGTTGGTAGATACTCCGACCAGAAAAGCTTCTATGCCAGGGCTATTGGGAAAAGCAGAGCGAAGATGGAATAGCATCAAGTGCTGGATCGGTAGTGGTACGAAGAATTGATGGGATGCGACCTTTAATAAAAATAGGCCGCAACATGTTTCGTCAATAACCATTCTGTCTTCCAGAAATCGCGATAGATATTAGACAGAAGAATAGAACACGCTACTGGAAATGGACAGCAAGCTGAGAGGCTGTGGGCAGAAACAGTACTCCCTATATTTGAGATCGTCGAGGGAGCGATCGCGATGTAGGAGGGAAGAAAAAAAGAAGTTAGCGCCCGAACCAGTCACATACGCCAAAACAGTGCTAACAAACGAAACACGTACCTTTAGCAGGAAGCCAGTCCTAAGAAGTGCCAATACTGATATATTGAGAAAAGAAGGTGAGATCCCACCGTCTAATGGCGACGAAAGAGAATTTGACGCTAAGGAAATGGAGAGGGGTGAAAAAGAAATAATGCTAGAACCGGGAGAAACTACAGACATGAAGAGAACATATACCTTCAACAAAACATCAGTCCCAAGGAACAGCAATGTCGAGATGCCGAGAGACTGTGAAGAGAATGCAACATGTGTGAATGGGGAAGAAAGCAAGGACAAATTAGCACCTGAACTAACTACCTATAACGAAACCAGTGAACTGAATGGTGCACTTACCTGTGGTGAGACACTGGCTCCAAAGGATAACAATACTGGGATGCCGAGTGATCGCGAACAAATTCTAACAACTGAATGTAGTGAAGGGAGTCACGACGTCAAGAAAATTCTGGATGAGGTTCTTGAGGAAACAAAAGGAATTTGTTGAAGTGAATCTCGGGAAAGGTTAACAAAGGACACAACTATAAGATTAATTAGTGAAGAATTAAGACCTACCAGCGAAAAGACACCAGTAGCGAGTGATGATGACATCAGAGCGCCAAGCAATAGAATAAAAGCAGAGGCACCTGAAGTTAGCAAGAAGGGCGTCAACACTATAGAAGCTATGGAAGAGTCGGGAACCTCAGACCAACCAGGAGAATACTACGAAAAGGAGGGAAAAAACGATTAACAAAAAGACAAGCCACGAAATACAGGGGATGAAGTAGTGTCAGTCGCAAAGAACAACGATGCCAGAATGCTAATGAGTACGAACGTGGAAACACTGAGGAAATGAAGATTTCTAGTCCCACTATTTATTTAACCGTCCTGGAGGAAGTACCAATGCCAGAAGAAGAGAAGAAGTCCGCTATTGGAGAACCAAAAACAGATATGGATAGCCTAACAAAGGAAGAACAAGGAGAAGTAGCAAAACTCTTTGAAATGAAGAAAAAATTATTTGTAGGAAGTTTGAAGGAGCTTATCCAGACCAACGTGATTCAATACGAAATCGATACTGGTGATGCAAAATCTATAAAGCAAATCCCTACAGGATGGCACCCAACAAACATAACTACATAAGGGACGAACTTACAAAGATAAAGAAGCAGGGACTTGTTATGGAATCTAGAAGCCTATGGACTTCTCCGATCATAATAGTGCCGAAGAAGAACAGTAAGCGACGTCTATGTGTAGATTACAGAAAACTAAATACAGTAATGAACAAAGACGCTTATCCCTTACCGAGGATCAATGACTTGATCGAAGCTCTTGGAAGAGCAACGTGGTTTTCAAATCTCGATCTAGCCAGCGGATACTGGCAAGTCCGAGTTCACGAAAGAGATCGCGAAAAAACAACAACCTTCGTAATTAAATTTGGAACATATGAGTTTCAGGTGATACCATTCGGGCTATGCAATGCTCCAGCTACATTCCAAAGGTTAGAGAACTGAGTGCTATACGACTACATCAGAAAATTTGTAGCTGTCTATTTGGATGACATTATTGTATACTCACTAACATTCCCGGAACATATCAGTTACTTGACCTGTATTTTTAAAGAGTTGAGATAGGCTTCACTGAAACTGAATACAGAAAAATGCAAGTTCTTCTTACCAGAAGTGGAATTTTTGGAGCACAAGGTAAAAAGGGATGGTATCCAGCCAGACGAAAATAAAATTATAAAAGTGAGAAACTTCTCAACTCTGGGAAGTGTGAGACAGCTGCAAAGCTTTATTGGTCTCGCCTCGTACTACAGAAAGTTTATTTGTGGTTTTACTACAATCGCCAAGCCTCTATACTAACTGTTGAAAAAGAATGCAATATATGAGTAGGGAGACAAACAGCAGACAGCATTTGAGTTACTAAAAACATACCTGACAACAGCCCCGATTATGCGATACCCGGATTTTGAAAAAACATTTTATTTATACACCAATACATTCAGAACAGGACTGGAAACAGTGTTGATGCAGATCGATGAGGCAAAAAGAAAATATATGATCACATACGCCAGCAGGAGTTTGTCAAAAGCTGAGCGAAATTACGCAGCAACGGAACAGGAATGCTTAGCGGTAATATAGGGAGTTGAGTACTTTCACTATTATCTGTGTATGAAGCCATTCATAGTAGTCACCAACCATGCTACATTAAGATGACTGAAGAATTCAAAACTGAAAGGTAGGAGGGTATGATGAATCCTTTATCTCCAACCATATAACTATACAATACTACATCGTGCTGGGAGAAAACATTCAAATGCCAATGCCCTATCACGTTTACCTAAGAGGAAAGGGAGAAGTAGTGCTAGCAATGGAAAACCCGACCACACCGAACAAACGAAAAATCCACTCTATCAATATGACAACTCAAATGACCTTACAAAAACAAAAGGAGAACTGGGAGTCAACATCCAAGATAATGAGGATGGAGTGATGATGGTACTGACTGGTGATATCATGATCGCGAGTTGTGATGATCTGGGAGAACCTAGTAAAAAGACAAATTGAAAGTTAGCCGGTAACAATTACGTGAAGAATAACAAGGAAGGAACGAAAAATAATAACCTTGTGGAGATAAGAGAATTAAGAACTGATTCTCAAAACTATGAAGACAAAGTGATGAGGGTACTGACCACTGACACCACAATTGTAAGCTGTGATGGTTCGGGAGGATTGTGTAGAAGAGAAAATCAAGAATTAGTAATTAGTGATAAGAGGTACTGTGATGCAAACGAACTTACCGATGGGAGACCTGATGCGAATGGAGGTGGATTGGGATGTCACGAGAATAGAGGGACGATAACCGATGACCCTCCTGATAAGGGTAAAATGGAGAATGAAATGAAAAGAGGGACGGTAGTAATTAATGTAAGGAAATTCAGGATACTCAGGTACGAAAAATGGTGGTGACGGATGAATACACTCAAGGAGTTAATGATAGCATACGTAGACGTCATTGCAAAACTAATACACTGCACAATATTGATCATTGTCATGATGGTTATGATAACCAATGGAATTGTCTCAAAATCTGAGTGTGCAAAAATAATGCGACATATTGGTAGCATTAGCAGGAAGGCTGGTAGGTGTACAGAAGAATGGAAGGAAAGAGAGTGTGAAAAGAAAACACAACGAAGATTACAACTGACAAAGATACGTATTGACCATATCATTATTAAAGCAAGTGCGAAAAAGGGATGGTGGTGTAAGCGAAAAAATAAAAATTGTGATATGTGCCAAGGGTGATAATTGCTCTTAGTACTTGCAAGCAAGGAGGGAAAGGAAAATTATGAAAAAAAAAAATAGAATAGATGGATGGGAAAGTGGGATAAAAAGGGAAATGGGATAGTATTAGTTTAAGTATAGTTTAGGATTTATTCAACGATAATATTAGATTAGCTTACTGTATTTATTTTTACTTTTAATTTTCTACTTCGATCAATCGATTATTAATTATGCTCCTTTATCTTTACCCAATTGATCGGTACTTTTATTTTTCTATTTTTACTTGATTTTGAAAGAAGCAAAAAAAAAAAATAATCAAAAAAATAATCAAAAAATCAAAAAATCAGAAAAATCAGAGAAAATTTTTGAGTGAAAAAGAATATTTTATTTTTATTTTTATTAGTATAGTGGTTCTTATTTTTGAAATTATACAAATAGTTGAAAATACCTATTACCTTTTTGATCTTTTATTTCTTGTGTTTTATGTGAATGAATAATATTGAATCCAAATATAGCTGTAGACAACCTTGGTTCCTAGAAATAGGAATCCATAGCATATGCTGGTTAAGGGCTGGTTAGCCATAGCACCCTAGGTAATATTACTTTTGGAGCAGATTGGTGTTTGAGGCTATAGTATTCAAATTATATAATTTATATAAACAATTTTTGAACAATTATTGGATGGGTTTTATTCTTTCACTTTTATTTTATTCCATTATTATGCCTTATAATTACATAAATAATTTTTTATTTTTACATTCTTTTTGAAATATTGAGAAGGTGAGAGTATCCTTTAGCTACTGTATAGATTACAGTACCCAGGCTATATGACGTGGACATAAATACTATAATAGCCCAGTTCTCAACTTGCTCAAACACAAGCATTATTGAACCCTTGAATATAAAAAGAAATCTAAAAGCACTAAAAGAAACAAGTGAGAAATGCAGTATAATGGAAGTGGCCCACAGAGCAACTTCCTATCCATTACAACTGGCCCACAAAGCATACTTAGCGACTACTGCATTTCCCATTATGAATTCACAAATGATAAAAGAGGAAAAGCTTGAAACCAATAGAGAGAAAAGCAAATCTTTAATTGAGTTCGAAGGTGAAAAAGGACCTATCAAAAGGAGCTGGAGTTCCTAACAATTGAAGAAGTCTTTCTAGCTGAGTTACCCTATTTTTCAAATTTAAATTTTCCAACTTCAACTCTCTATTGCGACAGTGAAGGGAGCGAGTGTCAGAAAGTGTTTCTAAGTCTGCTTTTAACTTGGTAACTTCTTCTTCTAAGGTTTTGAACCTTTTCCCATGATGTGTCAAACGTTCCAAAATTTTAATCCTTTCCTGAAGTATTACTATGTTTCTCAGGAAGGATCTTTGTGACCAGAGCGGATAAGGTAAATAGCTTTGAAAATGCGATTTTCTCTAGGTATAATTATGATAATAATAATTTGGTGAAAAAATAAAAGAATTAGCAATAAAAATAGCAGGTTTAAATAGTAATAATCCTTGAGAAAAAGTACAAAAGTAATATTGGACAAATAAGTCTTAAATATAGTGTAGCAAGCATGAGAATATTGATCTGAGAATATATAGCATATCAGCGCGAGAATACTTGCTAAGTTTTATCAATACTTGAGTATTTTTATCTATATGGAAAAGTTTTAAGGAGTATTGGACAAATAAGTCTTAAATATAGTGTAGCAAGCATGGGAATACTGATCTGAGAATATATAGCGTATTAGCGTAGGAATACTTGCTAAGCTTTGTTAATACTTGAATATTCTTATCCATATAAGGAAAAGTTATTATATTTTTGGAACATCTATGAAATTACTAAAAATAGAAATGATTAGATGAAAATATTCCAATTACTCATAGAACTTGTGAATAAAGGAGAGGAAAATGTTAGTGTGAAAAAAGATAGTAAAGAAAATATAGAGAAAATATATAAAAAGTATAATTTGTATATCAGGTATAAAGTGTATATCAGTATTTTTTATATCAAACTCTTTCTTGTTCATCCAGATTCGCCTAAAATCCACAGTAAACAGCTGAGAGTTAACCCATAAGACCCACCTGCCATGGCAATACACAAGCCCAATATCCCCAGGAGCACATGCTTGCCCGTCCCAACCACTTGCTACACCAGGCATCCAAAATGCAACAAAAACAAACGGAAAACCAACGGTCAACCATGCCCGAAGCAGGCGGAAGCAAGGCACTCAGCTGGTTAGAAACTTCAAAGGAAAGAGTAGAAGCCACCTATACTTGGGCGGAGGACATCCGAATAGATATGGAAGAGCCCCAACGGGCATACACCCCACCAATGTTTGGTGAGTCAAATGAAGAGACAACGTCCTCAGAGCCAGGAAGTGAAATGGAGGTGACTCCGCCTGTCAACACCAAGCCATCCAGACAACCCAGATAGCCGCTGGGCCTGCCCACAGACTGGCGCACCCAGTATGGCCATTTTTGCTACAAAATGACCATCCAAACATAACACCTAACAGGCTTTATGGAGCAAAAACTCAAGGCAGTCAAAGAAGCAGTCACCCACCTGGACTTCTATACAGGTGCCTGGATGGCGCAGCAACAGGGGGCGAAATTGATCATCATCTCTTTTGCCAACCAAAAAAACACACAAAAAGCATGCAAAATAACAATCCAGCAAGGCAATGATCACTACATGACAATCCTTGCTGACTTTGACCCGGCAGTAGCCAAAAGTAAAACCATTCGTATCTGGGACATCCCTCTAGATACCAATTAACAAGAAATCAAACAAAAACTGGTCCAATTCGGGCAAATCCATAGCCTAAAAATAAGCACTACAGGCATGTGGCAAAGCGTACTAGCTGAATTTGAAGAACAAGAAAATTATAACAAAATTGTGGAAAGATGGAATATTTCTTTTAAAAAAGAACTTCTAAGAATTTATCCACTTCTCAAAACCCATAAAACCAAACTACTCCAAGACAGGCACATCCTTAGACTCACAAACTTGCCACCAGGTACCACAGGATACAACTTGTGTGAAATAGCTAATTACACCAAGGCAGCATCATGCCACATCCCCCGGAATTACAACTACACAAGAAAGCGATTTGCTATTCTTAACTTCATAACATTGGAAGAGAAAGAAAAAGCCAAAGGCAAAAAAGTATATCTTGATGAAACATTACTTCAATGGCATGAGATGGATGAGAAACTCTGTACAATCTGCAACTCATCTGACCACTTGGTAGCACAATGCACAATCAAGGTCAAACGTCAAGAAAAACAACAAGCACTTAAAGAAAAAGCAAAAAGATATAAGGTACTTTATCAATGTTTCAAACCAGAAGAAACAACACAAATCATGAAAATTGCAAACCAGCAAGCCAACAAGTCAGGAAACCATAATCGACTTAGAGCTCAGAAACAATTTAACAAGGCCACTAGCCAGTTCTCAGACAAAGGATTATTCACACACATAGCCAAACAACTTCCCAACAAATCATTAAACCTAACAGCAGGAAACCCTGCAGCAATGATCAACCTCCAGTTATCGCTAACAAAAGACCTCAAAGCAGTCCAAACGATAGGAGCAGAGCTTAAACAAATAAAGAAACAATTACTGACCTCAATACCAGAATTGAAAATCTGAAAGACTTTGTATACTTTTATACAATAGACAATGAGGAACAAATGGAAACAGCCATTGATATAGGCAAAGAATATCTTAATCAAAACCCATCACGGGCAGAAACCTCAGAACCCAGAAACTTCAATTACCAACGGAAAAGACAAACAACAAGTCCAGTGGTAGACAACTCAGACATTAGGGAATAACAACTCAATCTCAACACAAGAATGACAAGCATCGACAACACCTTTCAAGATGTAGTAGATACACTCAATCAACTTATTGACATCACAACAAACACAAACCCCCAATCCAATAATCCAGATGAGCAACAAAACTAGACCCAACAAGGAACAATCCAAGAAGTCAACATCTATATACACTGGAGACAACTCACTTGCCAATAATCCACTCCCCACCAACAAATTATTACATCATGAAAAATTCTAACACACAATGTTAGAGGTCTTAATGATCCTACCAAACGACAAACAATATTTACATACTGCACTCTCAGAAACATTGATATCACTCTTCTTACAGAGACACAAATACAGAGTGATAATCACAAATACTGGAAACACCCAACATACAATATAACCTGGAGCAATAACAACAAAGATGCCGGAGTCACACTCCTAATCAAAAAAGATATTGACAAACACATAGGAAAAATCACAGAATATCCAGGGAGAGTAATAAGTGTCGATCTGCAATTTAAGGGAAAAGAACATATTGGCATTTTAGGAGTATACATACCAATAGGAGATGGCCAAGAAAAGAGAAAAGTAAATAAATGGATAGAAGATGAAATCTTAAAGAGACATGAAAAGAACTGGAAAATGATTATTCTAGGGGACTTCAATTCGGTAGTGAACCCACGGATAGATCAACAATCAACAATTAGTAAAAAAAACAACTCCCAACTCCCCACTTCAATTGCATTCTGGATTCTACAAAACCTGAACTACACTGACTGCTATAAGACCCTCAATCCATTCAATTCAGGTTTTACCTGAAAGAACTTTAGAAATGCGGTATCGAAACTAGATTATA